TTATTAACAAATACTCATGACTAATAAAATATATATATATATATATATATTTGCATGTTAAATATGAGTAAATGATTTATCTGAAGAATTATTAAATAAATATTTTGTACATATAAAATGTGAGAAAACAAAATAGGAGGGTTTTTTTTATTTACTCAATGAATTCTTTTATAAATGAAAAACAAAAAAATAATTTTAATAATAAAATAAACCCTTAATAATCTTTTTTTTTTTTTTTTTTTTTAAAAAAATTTTGTTTTCTCATGTTAAACCTATTTTTTTTTTTTTTTTGATGATTTTAAATAATTTATTTCTACCTAATATTGTATTAAAAAATTAATGGGAATACATTTACATTAAAAAAAAAAAAAGGGATTTATGTGTTATTAATAATTAATAAGGGGGGGGGGGGGGGAAAAAACCGTTAATAACTTTTTTTGTATGTAATATTATAAAAAACTTACCCAGTAATCCTTATGGAAAGATTTTTCTCTTTTCAAAATGAAATGAAGTGAAAAAAAGAGAATTTGAATATATATATAAAAAAAAAAATTTCTTTTATATAACCGTGAAAAATTATTATTTTTTATAAAACATTTTCTTTTATAAAAAATAAAAACGAAAAAGAAATGAGATTTCTAGAAAAAAAAAAAGAAATTTTTTTTTTTTTCTCCTTGATTAAGTTCTTAAATTAACACACACACACACCGTTTATAATTTTTATAAATTTGATATTTTTCACTAATATTATTATTAAATATCAAATAAAAAGATTAAAAAAATGTATTAAACCACAGAAAAAAAAAACAAAATCCAATTATAAATTAATAAATTCGCGAGATTTGATTTCGTTTAATGCGAGACAGCACAAAAAAAACGGTTTTTTTCCCTTTCAAATTTAAAAAAAAGAACGTTCGAGAACTTTATCGGGAAAACTTGTCGCAAAGTGAACCGCGCGCGTACGAGAACGAAAGCAGACGAAAGTTGAGCAACAACTGACGATTTCAATGATGGCGGCGGTGGCGGTGGTGGTTGATATAATACAACTCGAATCTTTCATCCATTTTTCATCCTTTTTTTTTCGTTTTTTTTCTCACAATTAATTACTTACTTTAAATATTTAATTAATTTTAAACGATTTTTATATTAACGTGTATATATTTCATATTATTTTAATTATTTATATTCAATGTGAATTCTTTTTTTTTCAATATTAATTTAACGTTTTGTAATAATAATAATAATAATAATAATAACAGTTATAACCATTTTGAATTTTGTGAAAGTTTTTTTTTTTTTTATATTTTGTGTTTGTGTGTGTGTCAGTGTTTCAACGTTTTTTTTTGCTTATTATGTACATTTTTACATTATCATTTATATTTAATTCGTAGATTATGTTATATACATATCGGATGTCAAAGAAACAACGAAACATCGACAAGGAGATAAAGAAAAAAAAAAAAAACCAAAGCGTTTTTTTTTTTCCTCTCTCTCTCTCTCACTCAAATTTGTCTTCAATTTTAGTGGTAAGTCAATAAAACCATTACTTTTATTTTATTATTATTATTATTTTTTTTTTTAAAACAAAAAAAAAAAACTAAATTTTACGATAGTTTTATGTTTTATTTAATCATTTAAAACGTTTAAAATTTCATAATTTTTATTATTATTTATCATGTTCCGCCATTTTGTTTTTACATCATGATTCGTTTAGTGTTAAATAATATGAGTATCATTTTCATTACATCTAATTAATAGATTTTCGTGCTTTTTTCTTTTACTTTTTACAAATAATAACAATTGTAAGTGCAATTAAGTTTATAAATAGTATAAATTTGATGATTTTAAAATTACAATAACGTTTTTTCAGCCCTTTGCCAATTATGCACATGCATGTATGGACATGTGTGGCAAAACAATGAATGGCCAATATTAGTTTAATAAAATCATTTTAATATTAAATATTATTATCATTGGTACCTTGATAACAATAATTTACATTGTTACTATCGTTATTATTTTGCAATAATGATAAAGAAACTTAATTGTATTCAGGTTGTGTTAAAGATCAAGACAACAAAAGGTTAACCCACACAGAAATATAAGGGTTTAAAGATTTAAATGTTAAATTTAAGGGATGAAAATTCTTTGTAAAAAAATGCTCATTATTCGCACCATTAACACCCCCAAAAAAAAAAACAATACTGGGGTTAAAATATTTTTTTTTAATGGCATTAATCCCACCACAATATCCAGACTATGAAATCCCATTACTTTAAAACTTTAATAAATGGATAGAGGAATAATAATAATAATAATAATGAAAAGAATTCATTGACTGAGTGAAAAAATTCATTTTTTTTTTTTTTTTGTTTTATTCGCATCATTTGTTTAAAAAAATCTTTTTTTTTTATTTAAAAAATTTGTTTTTAAAACAGGAAGTTGTTTTTTTTTTTTTTTTTTTTAAATGAATTTTTTTTTTTTTTCGATTCATAAAAGGAATAGTTTTTGTCTTCTGCTTAAAAGTAATTATGAATTTCCTAATTAATAATAATAAAGTTTATTTTTAAATAAATAAAAACCGTTAAAAATTCGAACGTCGTATCGGTTTTAAATATATATATCAATTTGATAAAATTAAATTTAAAGTTTTGGTTTATCGATATTTAGTAAATATGTAAATAATAATAATAATAATTTAGGAGGGTTTTAATATGAAAAAGAATTAAGGTACGAAGGTCACATGATCAACGCCCAGACATTTTATTTATTTCATAACAAATTTTCTTCGAATGCGTTTTGTTGAAATAGAAAAAAAAGAAGGGGGGGAGGAAAAAAATATTTACAAAAGTTCAAAAGGTCACGTGAACCATTGTATTTTGTATATATATATATATTTAAAATATTGATAGCAGGTAGATCGTATGTCTCTCTCTCTCTCTCTCTCTCTTTTCCTTGTTGTAATTTTAAAATATTAATTTTTATTTTATTTTTTTTTTCTAAGAAAAATTAATTTGATTTTATTTTATTATCGTATATATATTAAAAAGAAAACAAAATGGCGGAAAATATTTATTATTAATATTTATTATTTTTATTATTGTTCTCGTAATTATTATTCGCAAAATCGTTGGTTAAAGCAATTTATTTATTTATTTATTTAAATAATTTTTGAACTTTGATCGCTATTACGTTTTATTATTATTATTATTATTATTATTATTATTTTTCGTATTAGATAGAATTAGTATTATTGATAATTAATAAATAATAAATAATAAAATCGTCCGGTACGTAAAGGTTGACATGGCATTTTTGCGTAATATTATTATTATTATTATTATTGTTTTTTTTTCCCGTTCGTTTGTTTTTGTTTTGGTGATAAATGATAAAAACACCACGTGGATGGATACGTGGATTGAACGCCCTTTTTAAATTTATTTTCTAAAGTTATTATTATTATTATTATTATTATTATTATCAAATGCGTTCGTAATAAAATAATAATAATAATAATAATAAAAAAGAAATACTTTTGTATACTTTTTATTTTTATTTATATATTTTTCTCTCTCTCTCTCTTTAAAAACGTGTGATCTCCGTCAAAAAAAAAAAAACAATAAAATAAAATCGTTAAAAATAAAAAATAAAAAAAAAAAATAGAAAAAAAAAAGTTAAGAAAGATAAAAAAGTTATTAAAATAAAAATATATATTCTTTATTAAAAAAAAAAAATAATAATAATAGTAATAATAATAATAATTTTTTATTTTAAATAAAAAGAATAAAATTTTTTTTTCAATATATATATAAATATAGATAGATAGACATTTATTTACAATGAATAAAATTAAAAATAAAATAAAAAATAATACATTTTTTTTGGTTTATTATCATTATCAATTAGAAACGTATATAATAATAATAATAATAATAATAGAAATAATAATAATAATACATAACAAACTTTTTTTTTGTGAGGCGATGTGATTTAAAGCTAGACAGCAAGGAAATATTTTTAAAAAAAAAATAAATAAGTTTTTTTTTTTATTTTCTTTTTATTATCTTAATATAAAATATAATAATAATAATAATAATAATAATAATAATAATAATAATGATAATAAATAAATAAATAATACGTAAATCGAATTACAAAAAAAAAAAAAAAAATTATTTATTTATTTCTCTTATTTTTATTTTTTTTATTGCATTCGATCAAACAATTATTTAACAAATATCTGATTTAAAAAAAAAAATATATATATATATATAAATAAAAATAAAAAAATGAATAAAATAATAATAATAATAATAAATCAATTAATTATAAATATTATTATTATTATTACTATTACATATCACAAAAAAAAATGATTTATATTTGCAAAAATGCCATTATAAAATAATTACGAATGCATATTTTATGATTAATAATAACTAAGTTTGACTAGTTTTTTTGCAATCACATTTTATCACTTGTGTAAAAAAAAATAATAATAATAAATGTTTATCGGTTATAGTAAACAATAATAATAATAATAATAATAGCGATAGTGATGATTACATGTTAATAATAAAAATATCTCTGATTGATTGATCGATTGATCATAGATTAACATAGATTAATTTATAAATTAACATAGTTTTTTTACAATAGGATTTAATATTATCATATATATATTTTCATTCACTCTCTTTAATGCATTTAATTTAACAAAAAAAAATGTACAATAACGAATTCGGTTATCATTTCTACCGGTAATCGAAAAAAAAAAAAAATCGTGTCAGTAGAAATCAATTATCTAATTTAACGACAAGCCCGCTAGTTATATAAAAATTTTTTTTTTCCCCCCGCGCCCCGAGGGCCTTCGAATGAAAAATGATCGCATTCGATCGGAAGAATGTGTGGGTGGGTGCGTGAGTGCGTGCGTGCGTAAACGAAATGCGTATACGTGCTTGTACCAACGTGCGTGTCGTATTCTAAACAAAAACTAAACTTTAATTTTCGACCCAGGGTAATTGACTACCATCGGCGCCATCTTCATCGTCTTCGATTTCTCTCCTTTCTTTCGTCCATTTAATTATCGTTTCCGGTGATCGATATAGGAAAACCAATTTGGCGAATAAATCTTCTTCGAGAGCAAATTCGTTACTTTCTCTTACTAAATATATGTCGAGGCATAACTGGAAATGAGAGAGTAAAAATAAAGCATTTAAAAGAGAGAGAGGAAGAGAGGAAGAGAGGAAGAGGAAAGGAAGAGAAGAGAGGAAGAGGAAGAGAGAAGGAGAGTGAGAGAGGAAGAAGAGGAAGAGGAAGAGAGATAGAGAGAGGGAGGGAGAGGGAGGGAGGGGGAAAAGCGGATACAAAAGAAAATCAAATTAACCGGAAATAGCTTTTGCTAACTTACCTGCAAAATGCGATCGACGTTGGGCATGTCGTCAAACATGATTTTAAATGAGATTCCGGTGAAAAATCCTCGGACCAAAGTCCACATGACGAATACGATGGAAACGTAAAGTCCGATGATTCTGAAACGTTTTTAAAATTATTATTATTATTTATCTATTTATTTTTCATTAAGCATTTTCTTCCTATTTCAAATTACCCTTTTCCGGATATGAAACTGAGAGTTGCCGGAAATGCTTTATCGTTAAACGTGAACATCGTTAGGAAAAGATTGCATTCGTTCAATGGCAAACGCGATAAAATGTTTTTGTAATTTTCATCGTCGCACGTTTCCCTCACTTCCCACCATTGTTGTGTTATGCCAATGTTGGATTCTCCCGTTTTCAAACTGATCGATATGTTTCTAAAAGTAGCTGGAAAAACAACAAAAAATAAAAAATTGACGTATAAAAAGAAAAAACCATCGGGCAAAAAAAGTCAAAACAAAACGAACCGTTGTCTCTGTCGCCGGCCATTAATTTCGATATGGGATCCGCGTTTCCCTTGTTTGTTATTTTTAAAAATTTGGGCAAAATGTTTTCAATGACGACGGGGGTTTGCGACGAATTCGATGTTTTCAACATGTTTGATAATTCTATTCGCTTCGGATTTCTTTCCCCGTTCACGAAAGGTTGCAAGAAAATTTGTCTCTCGCCCATGACGACACCAACGGTTTCCGGATTGTTGTTCACTCTCGACACTCTCCAACTGAATTTTATCGATACCGTTTGATCTGAAAAGGATTTTCTTTCCTTAAATCGAGTTTTAAAAAAAACCCACCGCTCAAATAAACGTAGAATTTGACTCACTCGATTCGACTTCTTGAAGCAAAAGCTCTCGATCCGGGGGTGATATACCCCAAACGACCGTAGAATTTCCGCTTAATTTGACTACAGCGACATCGTCGAATTGATAATTTGATAAAAACGTGACGGCTTCTCGATCTCGATTTTTCTTATACATGTTTGTTATCGTATCGAATTCATGTTCGGAATATCTGAAAATCGTTTAAAACATTTTTTTTTTTTTTTTAAAAAAATACCTCCCCTTATACTCCTGATACTCCTTTTCGACTACTCACTTGTAAATCGTGTTATTTTGCGCCGACATTTCGTATATGTATTGATAAGCGCCGATTCGTAGGGATATCGTGACGTCATAGGGAATGTTGGATTCTCCGACCGTGTTTCCAAGTGCGAAAAGAACGAGAGGAAACCAAATAATGGCGATGATCAAAAACAAACCCGCTCCGCCGAGTAAATATTTCGAAAGTGGACTTTTACGTTCTCCCCTCGGTAACGGATACTCGGCTTCTGCTCTTCTCTGACACTTGAATGTTAAAAAGAAGAAAAATTTTTTTCGATTTCGAGTTCGAGAACGATTAATCGAAAGAAGGGAAATAAGAAATGCATACTTTCAATTGAAATATCTGCGCAAAAATATCTTCCATTTTTAACCAATCGCTCAACGTCATAGACGTATCCGTCCAAATCCAATCCATGAGAGCGCGCAATTCAAAGAGAAACGGAACAGCCATGAAACTGAAAATGAAAACATGTGGACAATTACATATGACGTCATCATCATCATCATCATCATCGAATGAAAAGCTCGATAATATGTTTTTCCTACCCTCTAAAGGAAAACATGTTTATGTAATTGTATTTTTTACAAAGGAAATTTCCCAGAATTCTCGTCGGATAACCCGCTCGTATTTGATATGCGGACATGAGAAGGTAAAAACATTTGACCGTGTACCACATTTGCGGAGGTAGTAATTGATTGAAAGGCCTGGAAAAAAAAAAAAAAAAAAAAAAAAAAACAATCCGTGGTGAAACGACAAAGGACGTGAAAAAACTAGAAAGAGACAAACAAACAAACAAATCAAACGGTTTGTTACCGTTCCGTTATGGCGGGAAGTATGAAAAACATCCATAGGTGAACGCCGATGACTAAAACGAATTGAAAAATAATTTTTCCCAATATGTACTTTCTCAAATACAAAGCTCTGTCGATGACGATCAAACCGAATTGAAGAATCATCATGAGTAAAAACGGTACGGGTACTTTATTTTCTTCCAAATAAGCCGACACTCCGCCATCTCCTTGCTGAGTCTGTTTTTAATATTCGAACGGAAACAAAAAAAAACAAAAAAAATTAATTTAGGAAAGGAAAATTTTCATCGGTAAGACTCGTTGAAAACTTACTCCGAATGCGGAAAATCCAAAGAGTACGACGAGAAAATTGAAAAAATCACAAATGAACATGTAAGCGTACACGTCGGCACTCAATCTACTTCCGGTATCCAAAAGTTGTGAAAAGAAATTTTTCGTCGTGGAACAATATTGCGCTCGACTGTTTAACAAAGAAAATGATATGAGATATAGTGATGTGAACAAATTCATCCGCCATATTGATGATGATGATGATGATGATGATAAAAACTAAATAATTACGCTTCGTTAAAATAAGTTGGAAATTTCTCGAAGGCTTCGGAGTGTCTCGGATACAAAGATTTTTCATATTCGGTTTTTTCACTCTCGTCTCCTCCTCCCTTTGTTATGCAAAGAAAACTTTTTTTAAATTTTTCCATTTTCCCACCGTCCGTTGTCGATTCGTGAGTTTCATTGTTTTCGCCGTAAATATCGCTTTTCTTATCGAACGAATCCCTAAAAAAAATTTTCCCATAAGGTTTTTCCTTTTCTTTCTCTCTCTCTCTCTCTCTCTCTTTTCCTTACCCCTCGGACGTGTCGTCTTGTCCTTCGTTTATCAAATTGAATTGCGATTCCGTTTTGATATGACCGGACGAATGAATTCCTCCGTCCATGAATTTTTTTTTCCTCAAGATGGTGGGCGGTACGTTTTTCGATTCGTCGACGCGAATCAATTCGTGAAAATTATAACCGGATTCGACGTGCGATAATAAAATGTCTTCCTGTGTGCTTTTCCACAATCCGAGACTTTTTAACATGTACCTGATTTTAAAATAAGTGACGTTTTTCAATCGGTAATTAATTATTAAACACGCGAAAAAAGTTTTATAAATACCTGTGGAAAAATATAATCAGCAATAGTAAAAGATCCGAGGACGCGTACGAGGGTTTTTTTTCAACCCCTATTATTCTAGGAGGATAAAATGGATTGTTTTCCGGTGACAGAGTCTGGTTCCACGGCAAAAGATCAAATTGAAACATGCATTTGATTATTACCACGATCTGAAAAATTACATTTTTTAAAAAATTTTTTTTGTGTTTAAAAACGCGCGACGAAATTGAAAACATTATCCACATTACCTCAGTGTAAGCAATGAGAGTGATCCAAAACGTTTTCGTCGGTCTCGGCATCGTGAGGGATCCCCATAGGAAAACCATGAGGGGAAGAGGAAGTGACAAAAGCGTCGGAGATTTTATCTGATGTAGGAAAATGACGAAATAACAAACCAATTCCGAATGAGAAATGATGGCGTACCAGGACGCCAGCATGAGTTGAAGCCATATTGGAGAATTCGCGGCGCTCCATTCTTCCCTACCCGTATCCGTGTCGGAGCTGCTGGAAGGAAACCAAAAAGAAAAAAAATTTAATTCGACTAATAATAATAATGATGATGAAAACACGACAGCGAATCATCCAAGCAAAAAAAAAAAAAAAAAAAAAAAAAATGTTTGTGACGCTTTACGTGCAAAACTTAAAAACACCAACCCCGAAAAAAAAAAAAAAAAAAAAGTGGCAAAATAAATGAATTTAATCTATTCTCTGTGCAAAATAACGTGATGATGGTGATGATGATGATGAAAACTAATCACTAATAACTAATAACTAATTAATTAATTTATTAATTTAGTTTTTAAAATTTACTTTGTGCATTTTGTTTACACGCGTGAGCTTTATTTAACGTGGAAAATATTTTACTCTTCGAATCCATTAAAAATTAACGACGATGATGATGATGATGATGATAAATACACGCGTTTGCTAATAAATAATAATAATAATAATAATAATAATAATAATAATAATAATAATAAAATAAAGGAAAACCGCGGAAAATTTTTGCAGGATTCGGAAAAACAAACGACCAACAAACTAACAAACAACGACCTATTTAAAAAATTGATGACGCAATGACTAATGGAAAATTAATTAAACAACGAAACAAAACAAAACAAAATGAAAAAACTAAAAAGAATAAATGAAATGCAGACAAAAGACGATGACGACGACGACGACAACAACAACAACACGTAAGAAGAACACTCACGCACACGCACGCACAGGCACGCACACGCACGCACACGCACGCACACGCACGCACAGGCACGCACTCACGCATTATTACCTTTTATCATACACAAAGTAGTCGTAATCGAGTCCTCTTTCTTGACTTGGTGCTATGATTCGTATGTCCGGCAATAGAGAGTCAGTCCTGAGAACCAACCCAACAACGTCTATCACTAACATGCATTTTCATAAATACGTGTACATATATAAATTAATAACATTATCATTATTATTATTATTATTATTATTATTATTAAAATGTTTTTCCGGGAAATTTGAAAAAAAAAAAAAAAAAATTATATATATATATATATATATATATATTTAGGTAAACGGTTAGGTAAACGAATGTAGGCGTGTTAAATAAAAACGTGCGTATAATGCGTTAGGCGACAGAACAAAAACAAACAAACAAACGAAAGAAAGAGAGAGAAACAAACAAAAGAAAAAAGAAAGAGAGAGAAAGAAACAAAACAAATCATGCGAAGAAAAAACGTTCTCGTCGTGCTGTCCTTACCTTACCTTACCTTACCTTACCCAAAAGTGTAAATTTTGGAAAATTTTGACGGTGGTTTGACTATATCCCCTACCCCCTCCCTTCCTACCCCCTACCCCCAACCAAAAAAAAATTTGAAAACTGACCTGCCCAAACGTGGCCTCTCGGTTACTTCCGATTCAATATCTTGATCCTCGCTTTCTGTTATCGTTGACAATGCAGGTCTGGTAACAGACATATATATGTATATAATATATAAGGCACATTTAATAATCCGCAAAAATGAAAGAAACGAAAAAAAAAAAAAACACTTAAATAATAATAATAATAATAATAATAATAATAATAATAATAATAATAATAATAATAATAATGATGATGAAAAAACATTTAAAAAGAAAAAAATTATCGATCGAAACAAGAAGAAAAATAGTTGGGGGGAGAGAGAGAGAGAGAGAGAGAGAGGGGGGTGTGCGTGTGTGGGAAATTTCAATCATTTCTTTTTTCTACTCCTCCTCCCCCCTCCTCCACGCCCTCCACTCTCTCCTCTTCCATCCTTTTTCATTCTCGTTTTCATTCAAAAAAAAAAAAAAAAATCACTAAAAAAAAGTAAAAAAAAGTAAAAGAAAAATCACAAAATGCAGAATCAAAAAGAAAAAGAAGAAAAAAGAAAATTTTTTTTTTTTTTTTTTTTTTGCTTAAAAAAAAGAAAAAACGTTAAAGCGACAGCTAAGAAAAAAAGAAAAAAAATTTTTTTTTTCCCCACATAAATGTATATGTATGTATGTATGTATATATATTATTATTATTATTATTATTATTATAATCCGACCTGTTAAGCCTTTCTTTATCCTCTTTCGGCGAGTCCATGACGATCGTTGTGGATTCATCTCCGGAACCCCTTCTTCCAATGCTCTCTCCCGGACTTCTACAAATATACATGACGGAACGAATAACAACCCAATTTTTTTTTTTTTTTTTTAAAAAAAATTTTCCCAAAATTTTAATTAATTAATTAAAAAAAAATTAATTAGTTAATGAGTTTTTTTTTTTTTTTTTTTTTGGAAAATTTTCTTTTACGTTATTTTTAAAAAGAAAAAAGAAAACAAAAACGCCTTTTGGGCAACAAACACATAATTCCGAACAATAACAACAACAACAAACGAATAAAAAAAAGTCAAAATTTTTTTTTTTTTTTTTTTTTTCCGATTGTTAAATAAAAATTTGAAAAGAGAGACAGACAGAGGGACAAACGGATGGACAAACAAACAAACAAACAAACAAACTTACGTGGCCGTAATTATTTCTCCCAATTGTAAAAGAATTTCCTTATCCGGTTTCCAAACTTTCGACACTTCCAAACGACTTCCCTTTTTAAATTCTTCATTTTCCTAAAATCCAAAAAAAAAAAATGATTTTCTTTCCTTCTTTCTTTATGAGGGGGGCGGGGGGCGGGGGGCGTAAATCGAAATTCATTCTTCTCCGTACCTTGACGTCACGTTTTTCCTGTGCCAAAACTCGGACGACGTAACGATAATCCTTTGATATTTTATTCAAAGTTCTTATCATTGACACCATTGCGCTTTCCACGAACGCCCATAAAACTTTGAACGATTGCCATAATTTTTGCGTTATCTTTTCTTTGACTGAAACAAAAACATGTTTGTTGTTTGTTGTTTGTTCTTCTTCTTTTCGTTTTGTTTCGTTTATGCGTATACCTGCTTTCGATGTGACATATTTGAAACCGTCATCCGAATAATCATCATCACCCTTATCGCCGGACGATTGTTGCGGAGGTTGTTGTGGATCGGATCTGGAAGGATCCGAGGGTAAAGTTATGCTACTACGTCTTTGAGATCCTCCATTTCCACCTCCACTTCCTCCACTTCCCCCTCCTCCCTTTGGAAAAATGAAAAACTCGTAAAAATTTCATTCGTGAGAAGGAAAAACATTTTTTTTTTTCGGGAAACAAAATAAAATAATCGTACGGTATCTTTTCTCGTTTTGAAAAAACCTGTACTCGGACCCGCAGGTGCGCTCAATACCGAAGACGGACCCCCAACTTTTTTCCCCATCGATGATTTTCTCAATAGCATGGATGCCGGCATCGAGGCTCTCCTCGGTCTCGCGGGTCGCGTCGTTATTATTTCTTCCGTTGTCAAAGCTTGATCGGCTGCTTTCGTTATATCCGTTTTCAATGCCGTGCTTAAAAACTAAAACAAAAATTTTTTTTTTTTTTTTTAACATTTTCCGGGGCTCTCGCGTCGTAAGAAAATAATAATAATAATAATAATTGAAAATTGGGGGAAAAAAAAAAAAAAACTCACTTTGCTCATTGTAAATCTTTTCTTTCCATCCGTTTCGTCTCCCTCGGAAGATGAACTTTCATCTTCGTCTTCTTTTATCAAATCCAATTCTTCGTCGTCTATATCCTCAAACATGTAATAATCTCCCGATCGAATCGCTTTAATAATAATAATAATAACAACAAAAAAAATTTATTAGAAACTTTCCGTTAAAGACAAAACGAAGACAAGACAAGGCGACGGCTAAAAACAAGACAAAAGACAAACCAGCTTATTTGGACGTACATCGACTCTCTCCCCCCCTCCCCCCCTCATACAACAGCCAATTTATTTATACAAAAAAAAAAAAAAAAAAAAAAGTACCCTTAAAAAAGCAATCGAAATCTCATCAAGCAAGCATTTTCTAGTTTTAGTTTTTGTTTTAGTTTTACCTTAGTTTTTTAATTAATCCAAATAAAGCTGTATGTGTGTGTTTGATAAACTGTAAAAATACAATACAACAAATACTAAAGAGAAAAAAAAAAAACTATTCGTTTTAGTTTTTAGTTTTTAGCTTTTTGGATAAAAAAAAAACTAATTATTACGACTACAACGATATATATACACCGTCACCAAGCAAAAAATTAGTTTTAATCGTCATCATTTCTGTTTGTATTTATTTTATGTATGTACAATTGATGAATGATCGTAGCAATACTTTTAAGGGAACGAAAGGGAGGGAGGGGGAGAAAGGACAGGGTAGGGGGAGGGGAGAGGGATAAGCGTCAAGTTAATCCATAATTTTTTTTTAAAAGCTTTGTACCGAAAAGAAAAAAAAAAAAAAATTATTTTTTACCACGTTGACGTGAATTATGCTTGGTGGCGAAACGTAAATCCTCCGGCGAACGCGTTCCTAATAATAAAAATAATAAAATTTTTTGAAAGTTTTAACCATTTTTTTTACGATTCACTATTGCGTCGGATGATGTAATAATGGGGGAGATGAGGGGTGACTCAAAAATGTAAGGAAAAAAAAGAAAAAATTCGACTAAAAAAACAAAATCGTTGCATGTATGTACAAGGATAACAAAAAAAAAAAGACAAAATCAGCAGGAAGATGCTTATTCACAAAGCTTTGTAAGCGATGGACGACATACGTCATCATCATGACGACATCATAAACGAAAATGAAATGGAAAAAAAATAATTAATTAATATAAATAAATAAATGAAGTCATGAATTACAAGTGTGATGAGACGACTGCGAGACGATAGAATGACGGGGCGTTACGTTGACCCAAGGACAATTCGACGATGAAGTCAGAGTCGTCATGTTTCGAACGTAACTCGAAGACGTTCCCGTCGTTCCGTACGGCGGGGGTGAAAAAACGGGAAAACTTTCATCCGGAGATGGCACCCTTCGTCACGAGAGAGAGAGAAAAAAAAAGAAAGGGGATTATATACGTAATAAGAGGATGTGAGTAGTAAATTCCCGTCCATGCAAAAATCTTTCCTTTTCCCTCCCCCTCCCTCCCTCCCTCCCTCCCTCATCTAAACGTCTAACTTTTCCTACTGCGACAGCAAGGGAATACCTGGGATTTAATTCTGAATTAGGAGGAGAACTGAACGACATTCTCTGCGGTTCCAAATATCCGTCCATGGTTGTCATTATGGCAGATATGGGAGTGGGAACTTGAAGTATCGTACGAGGTGCTTCTTCCGACACGGGTGTGTGATAACCCCTGGGGGAACACGACGAACTAACACCGGGACTTTGCACGGCCAAAGGTGCTTGAGCCTCTATACCAAGATTAGCAAAAAAAGGAAAATCCTGATATTTAGATGCCATTTTTTTTTTTTTTTTGTTGCTATCGTTTCGTAAATGTAAATTAATTATTTAAAATACACGTGTGAGACACGTGCGTGTAACATTTACTCCCGGATTTAAAACGAATTCAATTTTTTTTTTTACTCACCTTCGTAATGACTGGGTTTATACGACGATACGTTTGACGCTTTTTGTTGCGAAGCTTTTATTCTATCCATTTTATGGCGGATCTTTTCCAAAACTTTCCTTTCCTGCGATTGTTGTTCTTGCAATTGTTGCTGTCTGAGTTCTTCGATGAGTTGCGCTCCCCTGGAAAACGATCGAAATGTTATTCGTTTCGCACGTCCGGAAAAGGCTAAGGATAACGTCGTATTCTTTTTGCAAAATAACCTCGATTGCAACACAGTCATGGCTTTCGTTTCGTCTATGTGATGAAAAAAATAATAACTGTGAAAAAACCTCCTTTGCATTATGAGAAAACTGAAACAGAGGCCGTCCCATGCTAAACCGATATCCGAATCCGGAACCGTGCATTGCAAAGCTTCTAAAAAAAAAATTAGAATTTTTATGTATATTATTTAAAAATCTAAATACGTTACGCGGACGCACGCACGCACGCATACGCACGCACGCACACGCACGCATACCCACGCACCTTTCGACGTTCCCAACGTTCCCAAATCTCCAAATTTATTTATGCAACCGATGCCCAACAGTTGAACGACCCAACACGCATTTTCTTGCACGATTTCCATGAAAATACAACCGGCTATTTGCAATATGGTTTTTGTTAAAATGACGATGACGTTGTAACCCAACAACCAACTCCACCTGAAATCGTTTAAACAGGTTTAAAATAATAATAATAATAATAATAATATCGATATTATAAAAATGTATGATATGTATGATTTATGTATATATTCACCATTTTAAAATGCTTTGAATTCGTCTCAAGTACAAATCGTTTCCCTGCCATAAAAATATAAAAGAACCTATGAGGTAACCTATTGATAAAATATTAACTCTGCTCGTTCCGGCCGTGAATGTCACCGCCAAAGTGATCCATAACAAAGCTGAGAAAATCCCTTTTTTTAAAAGATCCAATGAAGACCTGACACAATTTTTTTAAAAATAAATTATTATTATTATTATTATTATTTTTTTTTTTTTTTGTGACGTAAATTTAAGAGAATCTCACTTTGTGTAAGTCATGTGATCAATGTATGGATTTTCAAAATCAACGTTTCCGTAATTTTGTATTATGACTTCGTTCGATCCCCCGGGATAATTCAATTTATTCCTCCTTTCGATTCTGAAACAGAGCGACTGCCTCGAGACTAATATAAGCAATATGACGTCGCAGAGAATTTTATAAGACGAAGGAGGTTTTATCGGATCGGGTAAAAACATCCATTCTTGAAGTCTGCGTAATGTTTCCGAATAATACCACGGATAATCTGCCGGGGAGAGGGGGGGTGAAAAAAAGAATTTCGTTATAAAATCGAACCCTTTGAATTGTGAAAAAAGGGTTGTTTCGCACACACAAACGACTCACCGATGCATAATCCAGGAGGTGCACCAACCACGATCAAATATTGTAGACATATCATAACGGCGATAAAAATTTTATAAGAGTTCCATATGTAGGATAGGGAAGATCGGGAGAGTCCGAATAAAATGAGGAGCCACGCCGCGTACACCAAACCGAAAAAATCCATTCTCGATCCGATGACTCCAACCGTTGCAATGAGACAAATCTGTTGCAAAAAAAAAAAAAAAAAAACATTTCGCGATTCGCGGAAAACATTCGCGAAATTTTAAAAATAAACATTACTTACTTCGACGCCGAATTTATAAAATCCGTAATTCGTTAAAAATTTCAAACAATTTTTCACGCTGGAATCCGCCATTTCTCTTGTTATTCCTTGAAATAAAATGTACGGTCGCGTTCTTCCAGTTTCACGACGATTGATTCTTTGCAACAAAAAACAAAAAGTTATCAATGACGTCATGACGTATGACGTCAAACATAAAATGGTGAATTAAAACCTTTGTCTCGTGTTTATGACGGCATGAAAAGTGATGACGGCAAACACGGCGATGTATCCCTGGAGTAAATTAACGAGACTCACTTCATCCGTCGCCTTTTTAAAACCCAACCATTCGGAATTGTTTGCGACGAATGGGATTTTCGAATCGGGAAAAACATCCTGGAGGGAAGAAAAATTCCCACGTGGAGATTAATAATGGTGGTTCTTGCTGGTCGTCAATTAGGCTTTCGGTTTTTTTTACTCACCGTGCAATTGGACACGTAAACATCTTGTTGAATGTACTGTATCTGATATATCATCGTCAAAAGGAGTAATATTGCTATGAAACTACTGCAAATGAGAGTTATGGTCGTTTGAATTTTCGAACTCATCATCAAAGCCACGATGCATAGAACGACTAGTACGATGTGAGTTGCTGCCACCTTTACAAAAAAAAAATTATGCGTTTTTTTCGTTTGTGATGATGGAAAAAAAAAAAAAAAAACCACAACGACAAAATTTACTCACGTTATAACAGCAAAGTAACATAATTGAAAATATGACAATTTTCAACATGTGCAATTCCAAAAATAATATAATTAATTCTACAACGTTAAGTAAAATTTCTTTGACGCCATTTAATAATATTCTTATTTCATTCGTGGACAATTCTGGAAAAAAATAGAAAAACAATTAGAACAAAAAAATAATTTTTTTTTTTCTTATTATTTTTTATGTTTGAGAATTAATCGCATCGTCCGTCTTACGCCTTAAATTTCTAAATGATATTTTTTGCAGTCCCAAAAGGGGAACATCATCGGGAGTCAATTCTGAACACGGGAGAACGGATTCATCTGGTAAAACGGAACTACCATCGGATCTGGAACTTCCTTTTCCACCTCTTGAAATACTCGCACCTCTGAAACGACCAGAAAAAGGTACAGAATAACTTTTTAAAAAAATTTTTTTTTTTTAATCATTATATACCAAAACATTTCATCTCGTCGATTTTTTTTTTCTTTCAGGACTTACGGAGTTTCCAACAATTCGACACGGAAAATTCAAAAAAAAAAAGGATTCAAAAAGGAGAAAAGAGGAAATGATTGATTGATTGGTCGTCGTCGTCGTTGGTTTTTTTTTTTTTTTTTTTTTCAATAGAAAGGTTTTTCTAAAAAATAATAATTCCTAGACCTGTTTCCCAAATCGGATATGGCAAGAAATTCTTTGTGAAAATAATGAAGTTGTACGACCGTTATGACGACGAAGAAAGTCGGTGCCAACAATCTGACAAACAATTCCGCCGTTTCGAATGATTCCAATCCGATATCTAATTGCCTGCAACGGGTAGGTAAGTACATTTATTTATTTTTTTTCTTTTTTCCGTACCTACTAAAATAATAATTTTAAATTTGTAAACACTTACAATTCGTTGGAAATGTGTAAATATTTTTCCCAATACGATGGAAAATTTTCAAATTGATACGTGTAAACTAAAACTAATATGGACATTGAATATATGATGACGGTGAGCCAAAATCCGTACATCATTCGTCGCCAAGCTCTGTACGAGATCTACCGTGGAAAAATCGTACAAATTTTACTCTCGAACGGGGGGGGGGAAAAAAAAAAAAAAAAAAAAAAAAAAAAGAGAAAATTATCATGATTGTATCTCGTACCTGAAACGTTAGTATGAAAAAAAGGAAAAGGCCCATGTAAACAATTCTGAAAACCGTTATCCGTTTTCCGGTGACGCCGATGACGAATAGGGAAATGGCGACGACCCAAATCCAAAATTTCGTCATTAATTTTTTAACGAAAACTCCCAAATTTTTTATCCAAATCGCATTTTGATTTTCCGGTTGAGGAGGACCTGAAAATGGAAAATGGAAAATCCATTATTTTTCTCTCTCTCCCACTCTCTCTCTCTCTCTCGTTGCATGACGACGTATTACCGCTCGCCGTATTCGCTGATAAACGAAGAGGAGCCGACAAATCGTACAAATTACTATTTTCCTTTTCTTCTTTACGTTCCCGACAGAATTGTCTCATTGTTAATAAAAACATGAAAGTGAATAAAGTTTTCACCAATATGGGACTCATGTGATTATTCAAGGGTTTGACGAATCCAATGTGATCCAATCTGACTTCGTTTACGACCTTGAAATGTGAAAAATTTAAATTTAATTGCACGTGCGTCGTTGACACGTGATTCGATTCGATTATATTCGTACCGTGGGTAATTCTTCTTCCGTTAAATCCATTGCGAAAATATATTGGGATAATAATAAAAATTCAGCGTACACGACGATGTAGGGAGACGAACGTAACATGGACCTTCTCTGATTCGGAATCATCCACAACAGGCTCGCCCATAATAACAATATAAACGTCAGCCAACTGTGATACGTTATGCTCCATGCCTGGAGAATTCAATTTAAAAAAAATTTGTTATCACATTGAAGATAACGAAGAGTTTTAAAAATGGCTGGAAAATGTTACCATCATGACGATATTGGTCGCGATATACGACGAACGTATCAAAAGTTGACAAAGTGATATAAAACCATCGACGGCTAATTCCATACACGTGGGAGAATCTTGAATAGAATCTGAAACGTGTTTAAAAAAAAAAAAAAAATCGATATCCGGTGTAGATATTTTGCGGGGGGGAGGGAAGTGGGGTGGTGTGGGGGGGCGTCATTCCTTACCTTCGACCGATAAATTTTTCAACTGTATGTTATCCCTTTCCTTATTTGAAATAATTGACGACCTTGGATTATTTTCATTTTTATTTTCACTCGTAACGGAAGTGGCTCTGTATTTCGTCCTTCGTCCGACGGAATTTATGAGCTAAAATGAGAAAAATTTTCCGGAAATAAAATTATTAATAATAATAATAATAATTCTCGTGATTTTTTTTTTTTTTCGTGATATTAAATTAAACTCGATTTGAATTGTTACGATTGACTAATCCCGTGCTTAACACTTAATTCTATAATAATAATAATAATAATAATAATAATAACTAATCGATGGTTGCACGACTTTGGTGGGTGCAAATTTAAATAATAATAATAATAATAATAATGATGGGAAATTAATTTTATTTTATTTAACCAAGTGGTTAGACACGTGGGTGAAAGAATAGATTATAATTGTGATATTTGGTGTAGTGTAGTGTAGTGTAGTGATGATGATGATCTTAGTGATGTTATTTTTAACAAATATATATATTAACAAATTTTTACTATTAATTATGTATTATCCTTATGCAACTATTTTTCCGCCATTTTCCGCGTGCAAAAAAACTAAACTAAATTAAAAACTAAATACTTATTAATAAATTACGTGCGTTAATTTGTAATAAAAAAATAATATAAAGACGGTTATGCCACACGAAATTGCAAAAAAAAAAAAAAAACAAATAAATAAATAAATAAATATATATATATATATATATAAATAAGACTACGTACAGGCGTTTTTTCCGTACATGAACTGCCTCGAGCTAAATCGGTTACTATTGAATCCTAATCGTAAAAAAAAAAAAAAAAAAAAAAAAAACAAAAAAATATTTACACTAACCCCTAATCAAAATAAAAATAATAATAATAATAATAATCATGCTATCGTTTTTATGCATCGGCTCCCGGATAAATAACCAACAATCAATTAATAACAAACTGCAAAAAAAAATTAATTCAAGTTTTTTTTTTACAAACATTAACAAACAACGTCAAATGCACAAAAAAAAAAAAATTTTTCTTTTTTTTTTTTCTTTTTTCCTGAAACCACGTGTAAAAATAATAATAATAATAATAATAAGTTAAAGTCACGACATTAATTTAAATTTAAATTTAAAAAAAATTTCATGCTTCTCGTTAACTTTGTAATTGTATTATTTACAATTTTTTCGATTAGAAAAAAAAAAAAAAAAAAAAATGACGGGAAAAGATTGGAAAATTATCTCTCTCTCTCTCTTTTCCCACCCGACTAACAAGCATCATCATCATCATCATTCGGAATCATTCGCATAATAAATAAAAAAATTATTTTAAAAAAATCGACATTGACATAAGCAATGTATAAACGATCGAGTCCTTTTTTTTTTACGTACTCGGACTTTACGATTTCCCGTTCTCCAATTAATCGTTGGATTTCTCGCAAGTCGACGTCTTTGTGAAAGGCGTTCGGAAAATGTTCGTGCTAAACCTTTTCCAACAACATCTTCCGCATTCTGAAATTTAGCCTTTTTTTTTTTTTTGAGTAAACATGAGCGCATGTAATAATAATAATAATAATAATAATAATAAAAACCGATAATAACACGTAGAAATTCGTGAAAACCGCGAACGAATTTTTCTATAAAATACGCCTTAAATATATATTTAATAAAAAAAAAATTATTATTATTATCATTATTATTGTTATTCGTTACCTTTGACGGTTGATAATTAAATTTTTGCAATCCGAGAACGAAATAAAGTATGAGAATCGACACGGGATTCGCATAATACGTCCATTCTAAATTATTGAAACGAACGTTACGTGGATCCGTACAATCCGTGACTTTTAAAGCTGTCAAACCAAAATACCTGAAATTTAATAAATCCCCACGTTGAATTTTCACAACGTTCTGTCCGTTCGTAAATTAATTTTCCTTTTATTTAAATTCACTCACCTTATAAAAGGGGAATCGGGTTTTAGAACCGTTTGAAACGATTGCGTTTGATATGATAAAAGAGCCGTGATGTGAACGGCGGAAAATAAACAAGCCAACCTGGAAACGACGGAAAAAACTTTTCCCAATTTTTTAAAACAAGCCCACCAAGTCACTCCCCCTAGAAATATGATAAAGTAGACTCCGTTCGATGCAGACGGTCTCAGAGCACCCGTGAAACATAATAAAATCAATGCTAAAAATTTTGCTGTAACAAATAATAATAATAATAATAATAAACAACCGGGGAAAAATTTGTTTAAATTTTAAACACATTCCTCATTATACATACTTTTCGATGCTATATAATCAACTTTTTCCGTGAAAAATTCTTCAACTTTCGGTTCTAGAAACAATTGATTTTGCGGATCGTTCGTATCCACGGCTTTTCTCAAACTTTTCTGTATGATCAAGTAAAATATCGTTGATGTTAACAACATTATAACGTCTGGACTTATCATGAGTACCAAAGACAGGCTTGGCAAATTATTAAAACTAATAAATCCGATTTCTCTGACAATTATTTCCGATTGGTCACCTGTTTTGTAAAAAAAAAAAATAAAAACAATTGTCTCGATGAGAGATGCTCGAAAATTTGCGCGGGGAAAAAAAAAAAAAAATAATAACAAAATTCAATAATAAAAAAAAGTAATAATTATTATTATTATTTAAAATTACAAAAAACGAAATAGTTTCCGTGATGATTTTTAACGGCTAAAAATAATTGAAAACCTGACTGACAAAGTACGTTTATGACACTGATGGCAATTAGCCATTGCAAGTAACAACCGGTGCAACCGGACATTGTTCTCGCCGTCGGCGGTTTCAAAAACGGAAGGATAAAATATAATATGAGGTACGGTATGGAAGCAGCCGTTTGTCTCATCAACAAACCTGTAACAAACAAACAAACAAACAAACGAAAATAAAAAACGAGGAAAAATAGAAAAAAAAAGAAAAAAAGGTTTTTACGATGCATATATATATCCATACATGGAGTCGGGTATACCCGACTCCATGTTTTTCTTCCCCTCCCCCCCGTAAGTTTATTATACGCATCGTAAAAACCTTTAAGATAATAATAATAATTGTTTTACGAACTTTAATTATAATTCGACATTTTTTTTTTTTTTTTCTTTTCGAAAATGAAATCCTTTTATATAATGATAAATCAAATCAAATGTGATGATGACTTTGAGTCACGAAAAATGTCAAAGGATCGTTAAAGAAAAAGGAAAACCCAATTCGAAATATCATCATCATCATTATCATTATCATTATCATTATCATTTTATTATAGAATAAAACGAGATAAAATTTTTTTCGCATTTTCCGCAGAAAAGAAAATAATGACACGCACGCAACGATTAAATCATTGTTATAGATGGCATCTCGGGAAAAAAAAACTATTATTAAAAAAACATTTTAATAATTTTCACGTAAATTTTCCCGGAAAAATTTTCACGTTTTCCCTTTTTTTTTTTAAATCGAGACAAAGGTTTGAGAGATTTTCAAAAAGCTTTTCTTTTATATATAATAATAATAATAATAATGTGATTGTTTGCTCAAGCATTTTATCTACTTTGTTTTTTCGGTATTTTCTACTTAATTTTATCTCTCTCTCTCTCTCTCTCGTGTTCCCTTCCGTTCCCTTCCCTTCCCTCCCCAAAATTAAAATCTTTCCTTTTTTTTTTTTTTTTGCTGTTGTCCGGAAAACTTTTTTTTTTTTTTTACAATCATAATTTTTAAAAACAAAAAATTACTTCATAAATATTTAAGTGAGTAAGTGAGTGAGTGATTAAGTAAAGGAAAAGTTTAATCGGGGGGAGGCGGGGGCGGAGGGGAAAGGAGGAAGAGGGAGGGGGGAAATTCCTCGTACCTACGCCTACGTAAAATAAATAAATAAATAAATAAAATTTCTAAAAAGTTTTTCAATAATAATAATAATAATAATATCAAAGTAGAAAATTTTTTTTTGTTTTGATATCGATCTTGCGTTTTGGGGCGTGTCGTATTTTTTTTTTTTCGACCGTAATAAACTCAAAAAAAAAAAAAAAAGTGACATTAAAAAAAATTATCAACCCCCTTCCCCTTCCCCATCCCTTTCCCCCACCCCCATATTAAACATTAACGAAAATAATAATTTTTAATGATGTACTCTTTCTTTCCTCACGACTATTTCATACCCCCCCCCCAAAAAAAAAAAGAAATTTTCTTTCTTTATTCGATGATGATGATGATGATGATAATAATAATAAACTTAAAATTTTTCCTCGTACAACTTATTAAAAAAAAAATTTTCAATAACTTTTTTTTTTTTTTTTTTTTAATGAGATGACGACTGTGCGGTTAAAAATAATTTTTTTTTTTTTTTGTTGCAATTTCAAAGTTTTGTAATTTAGAAAAAAAATTTCTGACAACATGGTGGTGTAACGCCCTAAATATAAATTTTTTATTTAAATCAGTCGTAAAAATTACAAAATAATAATAATAATAATAATAATAATCGGAAAAACTAATAAAAAAATTTTCTTTTTTTTTTTTTTTTTTTTTTTCTAACCACGTAGGTTGTTTGTCTCAGGTTAAAAACAAACAAACAAACAAACAAACAATTTTTTTTTTAATGTTAAAATATTATCATAAGTGGATTTTTCTATTTTCCCGCCCCCCCCACTCCCCACTCCCGATTTTTTTCCCTTATTAAATTACAAAATAAAAAAAAACATTCCCATATATTATTTGTAAACAGTGCCATTTTGGATTTTTTTTTAAAAGGGAGCACATGAGGAAAAATTGATAGGATTTCAATCAATCATATTTACAACAAAAAAAAAAAAGGAAATTGACCTCCTCTTATTTATGCCCCATCAAAAAAAAAATTTTACCCCATCGATAAAATATTCTTTTTTTTTTTTTTTTTGTAAAATTTGGGACGAATTTGAAACTGGGACGAAAAGGAATAAAAGTTTATATAATAATAATAAAATAACGATTTTGAACTTTTGAATTTGTTTTTTTTGGGGGGTGGGAGGAGGGGAGAGGGGAAAAACTCAAAATTTCATTTTTTATGGTTTTTTACGGGTAACCAATGCGCGTTGATCTATGAGCAAAATTTTTAATTTTTTTATTCAAAATATTATATCGTAAATCCTAAATTTTTTGTCTTTTTTCTTTTTCATTTTTGGGTTTTCCATGAAAATTAAAATGGTAACCTTTTTTGTAAAAGTTTAAGAAAAATTCACATTTGCAAATAGAACACAAAAGAAAATTAATTAGATTAAGGAAAAACACAAACAAAAAAAAAAAAAAAAAAAATATAAACCTCCTAAAACAACATTTAAACCTCCTAAAAGATAAGATTATCACATGATTGATATACTAAACAGATTTTTTTATGAACAATAAAAAAAAAATTCTACGTAAATTCGTAATTAAACAAAAAAAAAAGTAAATAAATAATAAAAATTATTATTATTATTATTATTATTAATAAAAAAAAAATCAAACGAGTTTTAAATGAGAAAAATCCTTATTAAAAAAATTTTCTTTTTTTCTTTCTCTCTCTCTCTCTCTCTCTCTCTCTCTTTTTGTTTATTGGGTAATAAATAAATCGAAACTGATCCGTTAAACGGGGGGGAGGAGAGGGGAGGGAAGGGGGAAAGGGGGGGGGGTGTGGAAAAAGAAACAAAATCATTATTGATAAGCACAGTTCATTAACCAAAATCTGTTAAAAATTAAGTCAGGAAAAACGTTAAAGTGCTAATAAAAAAAAAAAAGTGCTAAAAAAATTCTATTATTATTATTATTATTATTATTCGCATAGTTTTAGAAAAACTTTTTGAAATTCTATTTCGACCTTTATTATTATTATTATTAAATGCGTGCGAGTAAAATTAGGTACGGTTAAATAATTCGATATAATAATAATGATTTATAAAAGAAAAGAAAAAAAAATATTTTTTTTTTTTTTTTTGTCTGTCGATTATTAAAACCCTTGAAAGTGACGTAGAAGGAAAAAAAAAAAAAGGGATCTTGTGCGAACAACTGTATTTACAAATCAAATTAATGAAAAAAAAAAAAAAAAAAAATTAAAACACTTGTATATAAAAAAAAAAAAAAAAAAAAGGTTTTACTAACTAATATGGGATGATGAAACGCCATTTAGTTTTTCAAATCGATATAAAATTAAAACGGTGGGATTTGGACGAGGGGGGGAAGGAGGGGAAGGGGAAGGGGGGGATTCACGAAAAGGATAATAAAGAAGGACTAAAGACATTTAATTTTTATTTAACAAAAAAAAAAAAAAAAAAAAAGGGAAATTTATAATGTGAACAGACTATGAAAAGAATATAAAAGAACTACACAACGTTTTGTTTCTTTTAAACCTCCCCCTTTCCCCCTTCCCTCTCCCCCTTACCCCTACCCCTCTTTTTATTATATAAGAACTTTTTCGTCATGGAATGGACTTAATTTTAACCTTTTTGAGCTTTTTTAAAAAATTTATTCGATTCAATTTAATTGTTTTTACTAATTTTGAATGTTGTGACTGACTAACAAGATACTAAAACATTAACTGAACATAGAGTTCTATAATATCTATTTATCTTTAATTAACCATCATTACTAAATCTCAAAAAAATTTTCCACACACTAAAATTATCGAACATGCACCCAACCAATAATTAAATATAAACCAAAAAATATTTTCTGTAAGTTTTTTTTAAGGCATTTTAAATTGTGTTTTGAGGACAGAGTTCTTATGATTCACTAATTAGTTTATAATTTATAATTTTTTCACTAATGGGGGTAGTCCAACATTAGCTTTTTTTAAAATTGATAATGATGTGTCTCGATAATGAATCATGATGGCTTATTACAAGTAAGAAATAATTCATGAAATAAATACTAAATAAACTAAATTGAAAACTAATCATGGGCTAAAGTAATTCTATTTAAACAAATTATGTTAAATTTATTTTAATACAATTGAAATTTGTAGCTTTTGATGTAATAAATAGAATTTTGGTCGGGGTTAAATCCTCATGGATAAAATAAATGTAAGTTTTATGTGTACTCACATGTTATTAGTATAATAGGTAGAGCCAATTTAAGCAAACCTAATGATACATAATACCCTCCAATTGCCATTTTGCTGTTGATTCTCTCTCCCTTATCCTTAGTATTGATAAAAAATATTACCTGAAAAACAAATAAATCATTTTAAACACACCATATTGCCAAATTAAATGAATATGAAAAGCCACGATGAGTCCAATAAACTTTTTCCTTTTGACATGGCTTTATATAAACTTATTTTAAGGCTGTAATATTTTACCTTTTAAGAAAAGTAGTCAGTAGTCTAATTTAGGAATAAATAATTTCAAAAAAAAAACCATAAAATAATATGTAATCAGCTAAAATATTTGAAAAAAAAAAAATTTTATCATATGATAATTACCTAAGTAATAAAATTATTATTTTCCCACATGTAAATGTGTAACAATAATTATTTTTCATTTTAATTTTTTTTTATAAAATGTTACACTTTAATCAAAATACTATAAAAATCATATTTAATTAACTAACTAAGAAAAATAAAATGTCAAATTTTTATGTAAATAAACATTATACATGACACATTACCCCTCTGACTTATTCCTACGACTATTCAAATCATTGAGAAAATATTATAATATAAACGGCGATACGAACACAACATTTTTCCCGCGTAATCTAATTCCACGACAAAATTAAATTTTATATTATTTCATCATGCATTTCAAACGTTTCCCATATATTTCAATTGGAAATTATAAAAAATAAAGGCTGATTAAAATAAATGAATGTATTTTCAATCATAAGTTTGTAAAACTATTTATTAAATTAAAATTCCATTAATGATTGTGATACAATAAAAAAATAATAATAAACAACAATAAAATAATAAACAAAATATATTAATTTTTAAGCACAAAACATATTAATAATTTATTAATTTATTTATATAAAAAAATAAATATTAGTTAAATATTAAAACGACACACACACTTGCCCACCACTTCTTCTTTGGCTCTACTCTATAATATTTTAGTAAAAAAAAAAAAAACAAAAACAAAAAAAATACTTTGGCAATATCAATCACGTTTTGTTAAAATAATTATTATTATTATTATTATAATAACTACGAAAATTATGTCAGTCAGCGCGAAAAATTCTTAAATAAATATATAAAATAAAACTTACATAATTTTACTCATATTATTTAGGTTACATTTTTCAATTAACTTACTTTAATTATCATATAAAACTATTAACAAAAAAAATTTCCCCTTTTCCTTCCTCTTCCACTTCTCTCTTTTTTTAAGTAACAATATTTAATTTTAATAATAATTAAAGCACGTGGTTAATGTTTTTTTTTTTTTTTTTTTTTTTTTTTTGAAATATTTAAAACAATAAAAAAAGTATAAAAAAAATTTTTTCTTTGTTACAAAATTAATTCAATTTTTGGCATCTTCTTCTTCTTCTTACGTTATTTAGTAAAAAATATCGATTGTAATTAATAACAATAATTAACAATGAATAAATAGTCACAACAAAATAATAAAATATATATATATGTATATGTCACAATAATAATAATAATAAAACAAAATTATTAATAAATAAATATCATTCAAAATAAAAAAAATTTGTTCCGGGGCATTAAATCTCAACAATTTAGTAGTAATAATAATATAAGAGATTCTTTTTAATAAAAAAAATATACACATGTATGTACATACATACATAAATTACACGTGTATGTATGTATGTACATACATATATATTAAAACGAGAAATTTTTTTATTTATTTTTCTACTTAAATATATTAAACTAGAAAATTTTTTTTTTTTTTTTAATTAGGCACATATTATTATTGCTCATAGATAAGATTCTTTCTCAAGTATTAATTAATTAATTTATTTATTTATTTATTTATTTATTTTAAAATTAATTTTTTAAACGTGTCAGTCGGTCGATCGGTCCGTCCGTCCGTCGGGGTAAATATTATTAAAAAAATTAATTAATTAATTTTTTTTTTGTTAATTTAAGGCGTAACTTCTTTAACGGTTTTTATCGAAACCGCCGCCGCTGCCGCCGCCCCCGCTGCCGCCGCCCCCGCTGCCGCCGCCCCCGCCGCCGCCGCGTTTCCTCCTTCTTGAAATCTTCCTTTGAGATAACTTTTCGAATCGAACCATTTAATCGGAGGCTGAAAATTAAATTATTGATTTAAAATTAAAAATCCTCCATCTTGTTTTTTCCCATCATTTATGTTTATATATATATATATATATATTGACAACTTACGGTTTTCATTATGCTTGGAAATTCTTTCATTAACAACGCGTAATCTTCCGGATGTCTTCTGCTCAATGGAGAATCCGCAAGTGCTATTATTTCATCGTTGCTGTAAATTTTCCTCGGCGATTTTATCGTATTCGTATCTGTAATTATAGTAAATTCATAAATGACGACGCCATTTTTAAAATGCCGACATCATCAAGTGTCGACATTTTAAATGATCGATGAAATCGATATGAACAAAATGTAACTCACAATGATTATTAATTTAAAATTTGATCACTCAAACGTCGAAATACATTATTTTAATTTAATTTTAATGGAATTTTAATTAAAAAATATAAATGTAATTTTTTTTACCCGAATCTCCAATTTTCGTCGAGTCTTCGTCATTGTTATTAATCGAGGAATTATTTTTTATCGTCGTCGTAGCATTTTCTTGAAACGTCGACAAATCTTTTTCGGTGCATAATTTATCATTTTTAGGATTTGTCAAAAAATTATCAACGGATTCTTTAAACGATGAAAGTTTTATAAAGGGCGATAGTGAAAAATGACCTTAAAAAAAAAATATATACATATATGTATTAATAAAAAAACGTAAAAACGAACGAATTCCCCCCCCGCCCCCCGAGATACCTTGAAAATTTTCTTCATCGTTTTCATTAACGTAAGCCCCATCGAAATAATTTAAACCATCGTTATAACCACCCTGATATATTTGATCCCCGGATTCCGCTGAAAAATATTCGTCTAAAACTAGTTTAGCAATCTGTAAAGGTAAAAAATAAAAATAAAATCCCCATTTTTTTTTCCCCTACGTTTTATTACTATTATTATTATTATTATTATTATTATTTTGAATAAAATAAATGTACTTACAGTAACTAAATCCGGGTTCGTTCCTGTTATTTTTAATGTGTCGTCACCAATGGTTACCGTGTATTTATATTCGCCAATGGTTGCATCATTCGTTGAGAAACTGTGAAGCAATGTCGTTCGTTTCGAAACTGCACGTTAGAAATTTTACATAATATATATTATTTCGACAATATTATATATAATATATATATAAAAATGAAAGGGTTAAAAATTTACATTCGTTTAAACTCCCATTTTCGGATGTGTCGCTATTTAGTGATGAATTCGATCCGTGTTTTTCCTTATCTAATAATTCCGATCTGATGGGAGATGCATTTCTATTAATCGTTTCTTCCATCAGCTGTTTCGCATAACTGAAAAAATCATTATTATAAAAAAAAAAATTAAATTATGTAAAATTTCTATCAAAATAAAACACTAATAATAATAATAATAATAATAGTGGTAACTCATGGTTTCTTATTTCTTACTCACTTGATTTTTTCTGCGGATGGTCCCGTTATTTGCACTAGCCTTTCTTTTGTTCCGGGTGTCACTAAAAAAAAAAAAATTAATTGAACTCATTATTTATTTTTATTAAAGATTACAAGAAAAATCAAGTTAATAATAAAAGGGTTAACCATTTTATTCAAATTAACACTTTAACATGATTTAATATTGAAAAAATTAAGGTGATTTTTAAAACTAAAAGGTCCCAATACTGTTCAATACGATAAGAATTTATATAACATTTTTAAGAGGTTATTAAATTTCATTTCGATTAATTTAAGCAATGTTTAAATTGTTATAACGTTCATAAATGTTTGTTTTAAACAACTCAATAACTATCTTCACAAATATTAAAAAAAAAAACACCACAAATTATGCATTCGATAAGTTCATTTCATGATGCAATTTTATATTATTATTGGTAGTCGAAAAACTAAAAATTAAAGAATTTGATGAAAAACAACTGAAAAAGTAAAAACAAAATAGTTTAATATGTGAAGTTAAAGAAGAAAATGTAGGACTGGAGGATTAATATTAATTAATATTGTTTATTGGCAATTTTATGCAATTCATTTTTGAAAACTTTCAATATTGAATTTATATACAAATTAATAAAAGCAAAAATGCATGCTGTATTATGAAATCAAATTCTCTTAATTTAAAAAGCAATTTTACAGCAATTTTTTTTTTTTTGTTATCTTGATCTTATATTTTACTAATGAATCAAAATATTATCTTATTTAATTACCTCTTTGAAATGAGATAACTGTTTCACTCAGTTCCTCTATAATATGCACTCTCCTACCTTTGATTCCCATAACTGCAATAATATCATTTTTAATTTTAAATTAACTTTGTATTAAATTTTAAAATAATAAGAGTACACTTTTTTTAAAATTTTTTTTCCGTAGCAGTCATATTGTATTGTAAAACGATTAGAACAGTATTACTACCTAAAAATTTTCTCGTTAAAAATTTTTTTTTTTATCGTAACGAATCTTAAAATTAAAAAAAAAAAAAAAGAAAAAAAAAAAAAATAGTTTGTAATAATTTTGATTGAAATTAATTATTACCTTTTCCTGAATCTGAATTTCTTATAACAACTTCAAAAGTGTAGAAATCTTTTCCAGAAATTTTTGTAGGAATTGCATACTTGCCGGATGATTTTACAAGCTCTCCAGGACCGAGTAATAGATGTTGAGGAGCATTTGTATTTGCAGTAGTATTTGAAACTGGAGTGTTCTAAATATAAATGAAACTATTATGTATTTCTCTTAAGTTTGTTTTTCTTACAGCAAAATTAAAACAGGCAGTTATAATAATAATGAAAGGTATAACTTAGCATTGAAATTATTAAGGATTATTTTAGAAATTGTGTTCAGAGGATATTGACAATGATGAGATTAAAATAAGCAAAAAAAAAAAAAAAACAAGACAGTACTTAACCTGAAAAGCACTAGCACTACTTAAGCTAAAATTATCTGAAGATGATAGAGAAACTAAATCAAAATCGGGATGGTTGTATTTATGTTTATAGTAAGATGCATTATCTGGTGTGACCCACTGCATGGCTCTGAGTTCAATTATTTCCAATAGACAAAGTCTGGATTTGTAATCTAAATTTTCATTTCTACAACCATTTCTAAATATAACAAATGCTCGATCCAGCTGATCTATAATAATAACAAAGTATAAAGTAAAATATTTTCCCAAAAAAAAAAAATTTTGTTTTCAAATATTGGCATGAATATTTAAGTTTATGTAGAACTTTACAGGTGACTTGGCAAGTATAAACTGATGAACCTTTTCAAAATGATTAAACTTGGTTTGAAACAAGAAATATCGTTTTAAAAAAATTACCTTTATATATAGCTTCAAGACACTCGCCGTATGCCTTTAACATTCCACTCAAAATTACAATATTGTTTTGTAAATTGATGTCAAACATTCCATTACTCATATTACTAGTAACTGCTTCGGTTAATAGCATTACTTCATCGAAAATATTCACGTTAGCAGCATCCGGAGTTGATCTTCTAGCTGGATTTGAAGCTTTTAATGGTCTTGGTTTTTGCAATTTTTTGACGGGTCTTAAAATCACACGACCCAACTGGCGTGCACTGGTCGACATTTTTTTTGAATTATATACTTGGGGTATTAAGTTTTAATATAATTGTAGAAACATCAGAACCTAAACGATAATTCTATAAATATTGTCACATTCACAAAAATTAATAAAAATAATAAGTGATAAGCACTTTTACCTTTTTCGACAGTGATATTTAATTGACAAGGATAAGGTAATGAAAATAATATACCAGTCGATTATTGCGAAGTCGAACTCGTTTTGACATTTGGCACATGCGCAAATTTATTCGAGTTGTGTCGTCAATTAAAATTAGATACATCGATGTGGGGATAATAAAAAAATGTTAAATTTAAATAACATTTTTTTTCAAAGATATCATAACAATATTTTATTGACAGTTCATACTTTTTTAACATTTGGAAAGAACTTACTAACCATATTCCTTTAATTTATCTTATAATATATCAATCTTAAAAAATTTTTTTAAATAAAGTCAATAAGTATTTTTTTGTGTGTTTGTTTACAACAAAAAAAAAAAATTAATTCAATTTTTTTAATCTGATAAAAAATACATAATTGATTGCAGTTAACATTTTGAACAATAAATAACAAGAAATTTTCATTATGCTGAGGAGTTCTAAAATATTTAATTCTAAAGGAAAATTTATTTTAAATAAAATTTATTTTAAAACCATCAAAAATCATAATGAAGGTAAGCAAGTATATTTACGTTTTAAAATTTAACTTCAAACTGCTTAAAAGTTTTCAGCTAACATATGCTTTAAGTCAAATTTTAGTAAATTTTTTCTAAACATCACCAATTCATTTTTTTAAGGTAAAGATTTGAAGTATCGTTTATTCTGTTCGTATAAAAACAAAACCGAGAACTTAGAAAATGAAAGTAATTCAAAACAGGAAGAAATAAATTTACCTCCCAACTTGGAACCTTTTGCTTTGAGCGAAAAGCTTGAATTTTCCCCTTTGAGAAACAGAGATTATAGTGGATCATATTTGTCTACGCATGATGCAAGTACAAATGTTAATTTAAAAGAAAATAATTCTTTCGAGTATTACGACTGCTCGGGTGCAATCAGTTTAAGTTCATCAATGCAAACAAATGTGCCTCACCCATTTACATCTAAAGGAACACCGACACATTTAAACATGCCAGGTGGTTTGTGGCAACAAAGGGAAAAGTATACATCTGGAGATTTGAATAAATTTCATCATGCAAACACTCAAAATTTAAGTTCTAATATCACTTCAACAAATATTCTAAGAAAAGAAAGGTTTGGACTACTTGGAAAAGAATCTAGATTGTATTCATCTAATTTCAATCCTAAAAAAAAACTTGATGATATAAGTAATGTTCCTATTGAGGGAAAAAAAATTGAAGTATTGGAGGACAATAATAAAGAATCAAATTGTTTATCGACAAAACAGAAAGTAAAAAATGCAATTAAAGAATATGGTTCAGTATTTTTAATCACTCACATAGGAATTTCACTAATTTCTTTGGGATGTTGTTACATGGCTATATCAAGGTTAATTTTTTTTGGATTTTTGATTAAAATTACGAGAGAAAAAACTTTTCTTATTTAAAAAAATTTTGTTTTTAGCGGGTTAGCAGAATCTGATTTTTTTAAGGATTGGGGAATGGATGATGGGGCTGCGATAGCAAGTCAGACGAGTGCAATGGTTTTAGCATATATACTTCATAAATCGACTGCTCCAGTAAGAGTTGGACTCAGTTTAATGATAGTACCTTTACTTGTAAAAAAATTTAGAAAAATTGGCTTTTTAAAAGTTACTAAATATTAGTTATTTAATTAATTGTGAGTTTGACATTCCGTATGTATCACTTTTTCAGGAAGTATATTAAATTAATTTAATTTTTCTTAATTTATAATATTCTATTATTAATTTATGTCAAATAAAAAAAAATTAATTAAAGATTATTTAATTCATTTTTATAAAAAAATTTTAATTACTTGTATTCAAGTGTACTGTAAAAGTATTGACAGTTTATAAAATTATCACTTTTTATAATAAAAGTAACTATTTTTATGTAAAAAAAAAAAAAAAAACAGGAGGAGAATGGATTGAATAAGAGTTGTATGAGCTTAATTCTTTTAATATCTAGGAGGTGGATGCCCTGAAAAAAAATTAAAAACTTTTAGCTTTAAATGATTTTTGTAAATTATGGAAAATTAATTAATTTAACATTTGGGTAATAATTGGAAACATTTCCGAACATTTTTCAGATAATTACACTCAAATTTGCATTATTTTTTGTTTACTTACCAATTGGTGGTCCTCCTCTTCCAATGCCTGGTGCCATGCCCATCATTCCAGGTGGAGGTCCCATCATTGGACCAGGGGGGCCACGAACTGGACCAGGACCCGGTGGTCGTAAATGTGGAGGAGCTGCCATTTGACCCTGACCAGGTGTCATTACTTGTTGTGATGGCCCACCAACCCCTCTAACAGGTCCTTGTAATCCTGCTGGAATAATCTGTCCCATTGGTAAACCTCTTCCTGCTGCTTTGCCAATACCAGGTCCTGGTCCGGCACCTGGTATAGGAACTCTAGGTAAACCTTCTTCAGGAGGTGGGGGTCCTTCTACTGTTAATGATACTATATTTTGACCTCTTAATAGTACAAATCCTAATGACCTTTTTTCATCTCTTTCTGCTTCTTTAGAATTTTTTGGTTTGGTCCTACGAAATTCTTCACAATCTCCAAGTATAAGATTCATATGTTTGTCAAAAGCTTTAAAAGTTCCTATAAATGTTCTTGAATCCTGAAGTGTGATACGGATTCTATAATTTATGTGCTGTAACATTTTATTATTCTTACTTATAGTCTGCAAAAAAAAAATAAATAAATAAATAAATAAATATAGTATTTTTTTACATAAGTATGTACATTAAGTAAATAATTCAAAACCCGGCAAAATAGGATGACGATATTAAACTCATTTTAATGCTTAGGTTTTTACAAAAAAAATTTATTCGATAATTTTTTTTCTTTTTTTCACTAATACAAACCATTTTTGTTTTTTTGCTTTGTACGTAATCAATAGAAAAAATTTATTTGCTAATTAAAATAAACTACGATGATATCGTTCGCTTTCCTAACCAAAGTTTACGTTTGTTAGAACCGTTTTGCAAAATGGCGACAATTTTGTAGTGACGCTCGTTAACATATCTCATCATCAAATTTTAAATTTCCTTTTTTTTTCTAAAAACTATCATTAAAAAAAAAAAACGGAATCATTCCTCGTGCATAAAATTAATTGTTTTTTTGTAAATTATTTTCCCTTTCGAATTTAAACCACGTATATTAATAGGAAATAAAACAAAGTTTAAACATATATATTATTTTCCTGAATTTTTTCTAAATTAAGTTTTCTCAATTATTTATTAATCAATATTAAATTTTTGTCATGTTATTTTTAATTAAAACAAAAGAATTCTTTTTTTTTTTAATAAATAAACTTTATTTAATTTATAATAAAAATTTACAAATTTAAAAAAATAAACAAATAAATAAGATGTATGGAGTCATATATAATGCATTGTATAATACAAAAATGTATAACGAAAATTAAAATCCATTTTAAATCGCAGCAAAGTTAAAATTTAAAAACAAAAAAAAATTTAATCCAAATTATTAAAAGCTTTTCTTTTTATTTTACGCATCGATTGCAAATTTATTTTAATGTCAAATTTATTATAAATCTTCTTTTTTATTAACAGGAACAACTTGAAATGTTTTTTGAATGAGTAACGTAGTCTTCTCTGAAAAACAAAAAAAAAATAATATAATTTAGGAAAATAATTAAAAGGATTGCAAATATGGTTAAAATTATTCAATTACGATTAAATTTGTTAATCCATTTCGGTTTCGATTGCCAAGCAACGGTTACATAATAAACTGGAATACTGGAAAGTGTGATGGCCATGCCAATAACTGATAATCAAAAAAAAAAATAAATAAATAATTTTAACTGTTCGATCGATTTATACTTTATGAATTAAAAATGTCAACGAACCTGTATTCAATGGTTTTTTAATTATAGGCACGACAGTTAGAAAAATACAACATAATAAAAATATTACGGGAATGGCAACGTTAACTTTGACGGGACGTGAAGCTTGAGGTTTTTTATATCTGAGCCATAATAATCCAGCAATGCTAGCAGCAACCGATAGCCAAAGAATTTGACTGAAGTAATCGATAAGAACGAAGACGTCACTCGATATTAACATAATCAATGACAACGCACACTAAAAAAAAAAAAAAAAACAAAAAAAAATTTTTTTTCCCCCTTTTATATAATCATCCCCCTTTTTTTCACTCCTTTGTGTTGGCTAAGATTTATGTTTTTCAACGAGCAGCTGTGCCTTTAAAAAGTTTCCAAAATGTTAACTATATATATATTTTAATTTAATGCGTAACGAGACATTATCATTTTCCAGGGGGGGGAGGGGGGTGGAAATCGAAAAAAATTTAACCTCCAAGTTTTTATCATTATTGTTTTTTAATACCGTGAATAAAAGTGAGGGAACGGGAGTCATTCTTTTGTGATGAATAAATGCAAAAACTTTTGGTAATTGTGATTCTTCAGCACCGATAAAAAATAATCTTGCAGATGTAAAAAGTATGCCATTAACTCCTCCGAATGTTGATAGTGCCACGAAAATCGGAACGCACCATTTAAAACTTCCAAACATTTTGTTTCCGAAAGTCTGAAAATTCAAGTTAAAAGTTAAAAAAAAAAAAAAAAAAAAAATTTTTAAGGTTTAAGGTTTAAGGTTTTTGTTGTGATATTTACCACAGCAACTGCCGAAGATTCGAGCATTTCAGATGGTGGTATAACTGCAAAATAAGCTAAATTTGCGGCAACGTAAACCAAAGTAACAATCGGCATAGCGATCCATATGGCTCTTGGTAAATTTCTAAAAATTAATTCAAACACAAAATTTAAATTTTAACCAATCCACCTCCTCCATATTTTTTTCCTATTTCTATAAAATAACACAAAAAAATTTTCATCATATTTTTAACATTTGACATCTTCATTTCAATATTATTATTATTATTATTATTATTATTATTATTAATTCTCATTTAAAATACAACCTTGAACTGTTTAAGCGTAAATTATTAAATGTTTTCGATAAATTCTTTCATGTATAAAAATTTAATAAAATTAATTCTAAATTAAAATATCGAATTTAAAATAAAAATAATAATAATAATAATAATTGTAATAATAGTATCGAAAAAGAAGATCGATAACAATCCTTTCTTTCAAAAGCAAAAAAGTAAATCTGTTAAAAGATAAAAAAAAAAAAGTCATGTTTTATTAATGGATTTCTATTTGAGAAAATTGAATGAAATTTTATCGTTGAATTTTCACTGTGAAAAGATTTTCACAATTTTCTTTTCTGAAAAAAAAAAAAAAAAAAAGGAAAATGTATGTTCTCATCACGCGTCATTTACACTTATTAAATCTATTATAATTTATTTTAAATTTTTAATTTATAATAAATACAACATTGATTGAGAAAGGGAGTTTTTACCTTTAACTTTATTCAAGTTTTATCTTTTCGTAAAAATCTTCTTCTAATAATAATAATAATAATAAAAATGTTGATTTTGATATTTGTCAAAACGTGATTCAATTACCTTCGTTTAATTTAACATTTCAACTTTGAGTTTCTCTTTTCTTTTCTTTTCTTTTTCTTTTTCTTTAATATAAAATTTGTGTTTATGGATTTTTTGTTAACTTTTTACTGTCGTTTTTTTTTTTTATAAACTTACTTGTAAGGATCTTGTAATTCTTCTGTTACAAAATTAAGAAAATTCCATCCGCCAAATGCAAAAAGACCAGAATAAAAAGCTAAAGCAACATCGGCAGCGTTAAAATTTCCTTCAAATGAATTTTCAAAATTTGTTACATCTCCTAAAATAATAATAATAATAATTTTTATAAAATGTTCTTTTTGTTAAATTGTAATAATAATAATAATAATATAAAAACCTTTTATTATTTGAACGAATCCTGTTACGATTATAATTATTAATGAAATTAATTTTGCTGCTGTAAATAATGTTTGAACTCTCATTGCCAATCGAACGCTGTAGCAATTAATAGCAGTTAAAGCGCCTAAAAAAAAAAAAAAATAATAATTTTTTTTTCTTTTATTTTAAATCGAAAAAAAAAGGATTTTTGATTTGTTTGTTTGTTTGTTTGTTTGTTTTGATTAATATTGTAACATCTTTTACTTTGTCAAAAATTTTCCATTCATTGATTTTAAGTAATTTAACCTTCAGGAATTTTTAAAATACATTCTGTGTAAATTAAAAAAAATTTGCATCACGCAAAATAATTAGGTGATGCAATTAATTTTTTTTTTTTTTTTGTTTTTTTGTCATTATACTCACACAAGCAAAGAGCAGCTAAAATTCTTATGGCATTTTCCGGAGGTTCGCAATCCGTGAAAAATGGTTTTGATGCGTAATGTGCAAAAGATAGAGCAACGATTGCTTGAGTTGTCGGCCTTAAAATAAGCAACGTGACCCATAGTAAAATAAATGCGGGTAAAGGACCGAAAGCTTCGAGAATATAAGCGTAATCACCACCTGAACGTGTAATTAGTGTACCTAATTCACCGTAACATAATGCACCTAAGGTTGAAAACACTCCGGATAGCATCCATATAACAATAGAATATCCAACTGATTTAACACTGATAAAAACCCCTAAAAAAAAAAAAAATTTGACCACTTTTAATTACATGTACGATAAACTAAAATTTTTTATGATAAAATCAATCATCATTTTTTTTTTAAGCTTAATCATAAACGTTATAAGTTTACTAAACAAAATAAATGTAAATTCATTTTATGATACATTTTAATATTATAAACAAAATGGCGGCTACTACTACTACTACTACTACAGCAAATAAATTAATCAAATATGTGTTGGGTTGATTATTTGAATGGATATCACTTGGCCAAATGAAATAAAATAAAAATTTTACCAGTTGGTGCAATAAAAATACCAGAGCCAATAATTGTTCCGATAATAAGTGCAACACCATCAAAAAGTGTAATTTTTCTTTTTAATCTAATTTCATTATCTGCATTTTCACTCATTTTTATCTAAATTAAAATAAAAAATTATTTTTGCAGTTATAATAAAGTTTAATTTAAAAAACAATGATAAATAATGCAATCGTTAATTTTTTTTTTTATGTAATAAAATACTTTTATAATTTAAGAGTCTCTCAAAAATATTTCGTAACGGTTTTTTTTTTTTTTTGAATCGAGAAAGGAATGTCGCGACTATGATAACTATTAGTTTACAAACGATTGATTGTTTTTTAAAAAAAAAAATTACCGTTTGATTTTTCCAGACAATATTATTACTTGAAACATATTTATTTTAATTTCATTTTATATAAACATTAATCAAAAAAACATTTATATGAATCATATTTTAAAAAAAACATCGAATTAATTTTTTTTTTTTTTTTTTAAACTGAAACCAAAGTTGACGCGCACCGCCCTCGAAAGATTTGCAAAAAACGACTGAATTGGAAATTCAATTCAAAAAAAATCTACTCCTGCCACTTCAATTTGGCGCAGGCTCAGTTTAATTGAAAAGCGCATGCGCCATTTTTTTCTTTTCTTACACCATACAACAAACTATAACATTTTTTTTTTTTTTCATTTAATAAATAACGAATTGAAAATATATATTTTAGAAAATTAATAAACGATGACTTTTCGTTTGAATAAATCTTATATTTCGTTTGTGTATTCCAAATACATGAATATCAAAAACATTTAATTAAAATAATTAAAAAATTAAATTTGGTCGTCGTTGCTTGCTTACTTAAATCAATCTCATCCGACATATTTAATTTTAAACAAATGCCATTTCAATACTTTGATTAATGATTGATCGTGTTTAAATTGCAATATTAAAATCATTTAAATTGTATCGAGGTCATTTAATATGAAATATTTTTTATAATTAACTCGGTATCAACAAATAAATTTGATTTCTGTTTAAAAAAAAAAAAAAAAACAAATTTTCTTATGAATAGATTTCTAATTGTATTTGTTAAGGAAAAAAAAATTTTTCTATTTATTCCAAACGTTTGAATTAAAAAAATGATTTATTATAATGAAAAATGTTTACAATGATATCTTACAGCGTATAAAAAGATGAAAAATCATTAATAAAATATAAAATTATGATTTATTGCTAAATCAGCTAATTGTAAAAACTAAAAATTACAAATGCTAATCAGGCAAAAAAAAAAAAGCTATAATGATTTCTATTTATTTCTTTTTGAAATTTATGTATAAATGAATTATTAAATTAAATTATATATATTCATATAATATATTAATATAATACTATGTACAGTTTGTACTTAAATATGTAGGAAAATTAATATTTAAGTTAAACTTATTAAAAATCCCAATAAATCTTTTAAAAAAAAAAAATGGCGGGCGGAAATTGTGATTGTTTGAAGAAAAAAAAATTAAAATAGTATATTACTTAATCCCACCTCCGAAATAATATGCTGACATCTTTAACAAATAATGGTCACCTAAAAAAAAAAAAAATATCCACCATCTTGAAAACAAAAAAAAAACTTTTTTCTATTTCCATGTTTAGTTGTGCCATTAATTGAAATTAATTTTTTTTTTTTTTTTTTTTTTTTTAAAATGTGTAAATTTGAATAAAATTAATTTTAAATAACTTATGTGTAACTTATAAAAAATCTATAATATTTAAAAAAATTTATATAAAAAATATTTTAATGACTGATGTGATCAATTCCGAATATGTTTTATTTAACAAAAAACAATTTATTAAATTTAAATGGTAAAAAAAAAAAAATTATTTAAAAAAAAACAAAATATGGTAAAAAATCCTTTTTTTTTTTTTTTTTGAAAAAAAAATAAAATAAAAACAAACCGTACTCATTATTATTATTATTATTATTATTAAATGCTAGAAATAAATGAGCTTTTTATATGTATGTAGGCGATGTATACCCCTGCTGAGGTAATATTTTTTTTTTTTTTAAAAAACTCAAGTTGGGGGGGCCTCTTATTTCTTTAACTACTCTGATTTGGTTTAAATGTAATAATAATAATAAAAAAAAAAAACGTTTCATCAAATAAATTTTTAATTATTTTATATATTTTTAAAAAAAAAATAAAATGGTGTTGGTGCGCGTTGTGTCATGATTATAAAAAAAAAATAATTTTATTATTTATTAATTGGATATTACATTTGATAGGTATGTGTTGGATGAGATGTACATAAAAAAATATATATATAATCCGTTAATGAATAATTTTTATTTATAATAAATTGTGAAAAAATTATTATTGTGAATTATCTAATTATATATATTAAAAAATTATTTTTTAACTTGTTTCAAATATTATGTCATCATAGATGGTTTTAAATTTTACAGTAAAATATGAAAATTTTACTAGGTATTTGATTGTATGGGAAAAAAATACATAAACTATGTAAAAAACTGTTCAAATAATTTTTTTAAAAAAATGTTTTACGTTTTTCTTTTTAAATTGTAATAAAATAATAATAATTTTTTTTTTTTTTTTGGATTTTTAAGATGGCGCATAATATAGAGAGTGATAAAGGTGATTTGAATAAAATAAATAAATTTAATGGGAGAATACTTAGAAATAGACAATATAAAAGACCTTTACTGGATCCGAGGCCGACAAAACGATTATTTACACCAGAAATAAAAAGACATCTTAAAAGTTGGCTTGTCAGAAGGAGAGAAAATCCTTATCCCAATAGGGAAGAAAAAATTGAATTGGCTGCACAAACGGGTTTGACCTATATTCAGGTATGATATATTTGTCTGAGACGGTTTGTTATTATTATTAAAAACTAAATGATTGATAAAATTCAATTTCTTATTTTCAGATATGTAATTGGTTTGCAAATTGGAGAAGAAAGTTAAAAAATTCAGGGAAGAATATAAATAAATTCACGTGGAGTAATTTGATAAAAAGTTATAACGATCAAGCAATGGGCAACGTTGAACATTTAAGCATAAGTTCAAACGATAGCATATGGGACGAAACGGATATTGATAAATCAGATAAAAATCAAATAAAACGTTATTTACCCGATAATGACTATCCAGATGATTGTCCGACATTTTTTCGTGTCGGAGTGAAAAATAATATTAATAATTGTAATTTATCATGTTTTTCAAAACCGGAACAAACGAACAAGTCTGATTATCTTCCACAGTGTTTTCAAATAAGTTCGACAAGTGATTTTTTATTAAAACCTCCAAAAATAAACGATAATTCAAATAAAAAAACAAATTATTTAAAAAAATCGCGACAATTGAATAAAAAATTTAATGACACGACAAAAAAACATTTCAACAAACCTGTTCGCGACAAAAATTGGAATTATAAAAAAATGATTAATGATGTGAATACAGGCACCGATCAAAAAAATATATTACGTACGAATAATAAATGTCGGTTGGGTAATAATAATTCTTCATTGTTGACAAAATGGAAAAAAAGTGCCGCTCTTTTTCAACCTAATAAAAAAAAATATTCCACCGTTGAATTTATACAAAAAAAATCTAACGGTTTTTTAATTAAATTTGATCATTTTCACGGTAGGGAAGAACTTGACGCAGCAGAAGCTTTAACGTTTTTATCGAGAGCGTCATCAAATAATTTGTAAAAATCAAATATTTCTTTCAAAAAACAAAAAAAAAGACTTGTTTTTGTTTAAATAAATAAATAATAATAATAATAATAATTTTTTGCTCATAAATTAAACTTTATTTAATATAACAATTATTTGTTTTGCATAATAAATTTGTTTTGTAATAAAATGCATTTACACAATTGAAAAACTTTTATGTATGTTTTGTTATAAAAAACTTTTTCTACAACATCCTTTTTTTTCAGGTGCTGATTTATTATTAATTGTACGTAATTTAATATAATTTCAATTAAGTTTTGTTTTTACCTAATATAAATTATCTCGTTGAAATACTCACGTAAAAATATTTAAAAATCTAAATGACCGTTTTACGTTTTTATAACTGTTATTAATCCGCCATTTTAAATTAATAAGCTATAATAAGCTCATAAGAAGATTGGCAAAAAAATTTTTTCGATTTTAAATTTTCATTGTTAAAGATTAGGATTAAAAATATATAGTAAGTCACTAACAGTAAATTTTTTTTTTTTTTAAATCGAATGAAATGATGTTTTCTATGGTCGACATAAATAATAATTTTAGTTATTATGTTGGTCTGATTAATGACTGTTCAAAAAAAATTACTCCGAGTTTTTAATTATTTAAAATTTTTAAAATTAAATATATTTTTTATTGAATAAAAAAAAATTTGATTTGAAAATATGGACCATAGAGTAGCATCATGTTGCAAAGATTTACATTTATGTTTACAATACTGTCCCTGTTTATTAAGCCTAAAATAAATTTTTAGAATGTGTTCGTAGAATGTTAATTTTTATATATAATTTATTAATAATAACGAAACATAAAACTTAAAGGACTAAAATGAATGTGAATGTGCAAATGAAAAGTTGGTATTTTAAAATTATTATTTTTTTTCATATTACTAACCACTCACTTAAAAAAAAAAAAATTTAATGTACAAACCTATAGAAATTCATAAAAAACTTAATCTTGGAAACGTTTTCTCTTTTAAATCTTTATCAAATAATTTTTTTCAGGTTTATTTAAGGTTTTACGACAACCTCAGTTAAATTTTTTAAGATTAAAAAGTAAAATTAGAATAACTCAACCTAAGCCACTACATCATCAGAGAGATATTGTCGAGCATCTTTGTGTTCCCAAGTTAAATTTTCCACATAAAGTATATCCTTACCTTCCTCGATATGATAAATGTGAAGGAATGCAGATTAGAGAAAAAGAAGGGGTAATGTTAAAATGTTTTCTCAAATTCTGTTTGTTATAAGGAAAAATTGATAACACAATTTATAGTCTCCTCTATTTTTTTTTGCAGCCATCTCCTCTGGATGTTATTATGGGAAGGGAAGTTTTGGAAAAGTTTAACAATTCAAAACTCATAGCATTTTTTCAATTGAACAGTATGACTAAGGAAGAAACTTTCGATGTAAGTATAATAATTAAAAATTATGGTAGAATGAACATTGTACAAATGTAGAAATAAAAAGCAATGTACAATTTTCACTAAAAAATAATAACTTTGTAATAATAATAATAATTATGTTTTAATGTTTTTTTTCGCAGGCAGAAGTTCATTTAAAGAAAAATAAAATGAAGTTATACACTTTCGGCAAAGCAGTTATGAACTCGGCTCTAAGTGGCACTAATTACGAGCCGCTTCTTCAATTTTATTCTTCTTACACTGCTTTCGCTATTAGCGAAGAAGTAAATGTACACTCGTTAATAAACATTACACAAAAATTAAAAGGATTAGTACTTATAGGTAAGTTATCTGTAGAATTATAAAATTTAGAATTATTATATAAGAATATTAAAGGAAAAAAATTTGAAGCAAATGAATTAATTAAATAAAGAAAATAAATATTTATTTTTATTCAAAATTTTTTTACAGTTATACATTCATTTTAAATCATTATTATATTTTCTAAGCGATATATGTAAATAGGCAAAAAAAAAGGGGGGAGGGGGAAAAATTAACTTTTTTTAAAAAGTGTATTTAGTTTTTGATGACACACACTCGACCAATACATTTCATATATATACACATATATGTATACTTATATATACATAACAAATATATTTTTGAATAAATCAAAAATTTTAATATTTTTTTTTTTTTTTTTGTTTTTTACAGGTGCTCTTGTCAATAACACCAGGTTACTTGATGTTTCGGAAATAGAACGATTCGGAAAATATTCTGATTTAGATAGTGCCAGATGTAATCTCGTTAGTGCAATGAATAATGCAGCAAATAACTTAATTCATCAACTAAATTACCATCCGCAATCTTTATTAAGTTCCCTGAAACAAATTAATAATAAAAATAAATAAATAAAAGAACAGTTATGATTATTATTTTATAATTTTAGTTTTTAATTTATTTTATTTTTTTTTATCGATTGAAAATATTGATTGTGCTTTAATGTAAATCATTTAAATTGATTACCAACTACGAAAAAAAAAAAAAAAAAAATTTTTTACGTGTGAGAAAATACTTATTACACAATTTAGTTCAGGTATAATATCAGGTTGTGCTTATTACGATCCTTAAAATTAATATTTTATTAAAAAATAAATTATACATACTAGTTCCAAACCTGTCTATAGGTGTGTATAACAAAGATTTACACAAATGACTATTTACGTTTATGTTCTATTCGCCCGGGATAGACATGTTAATGCCTCAGCAGCTTCTAGAACATCTTTATCGTGTAATATTTCAACGGGTTTTTCTAAATCATCTTTTTTATTGTTGTTCTGTGATGATTCCGCCGGTACATGATTTTTTGTATTTGGTTGAAATAAAGCGGCACTTTTTTTCCACTTCATCAATACGTCCGAACTATTTTCCGATTTTTCACTCTCTGATGTCTCTTTTAATTGCGTCGGAGAATTAGGTGGAACTTTCATTCCTTCAGACATTTTATATAAACGAATAAATATAATGTCAATATCTTCTATATATATATCGATGATAACTAATTAAAATCTAATTGTAATTGTTTCATAAAATAATTTCATTTATTTGTGCACTCTTTTGTTTTACTTATAGAGTAATTTTCGAGAACAATTTAAATTTAAATTTGTTTATTATTTACGACTAATG